GAGTTCTTTTGAACCCCATTTAACGCAACAAAAGGAATCCCAGGCAAAATTAAACTTCAATGCTCTCCACGGTTGATGGGGGCCATGTACATGTGCGTGGCGCTTCGTCATGGTGGATAGGACAATACAGACCTACGACAAAGGCGAAAACGTTGCACATGCAACACTTCCCTTTGCATCCCAAAGACAAGTCGACAAGAAGCTGGATGCGGCAAAAATGACACAAAATCCGCTTCCCGTGGGCTACCCAGGGGCGGCAGATGATCGCTGGTGCGGGGCGACGAGAGGGAGAAGGGGAGAGAGAAAGGGAGAGAGGGAGTGAGGGGGAGAGAAAGAGAGAGAGAGAGAGAGAGAGAGAGAAAGAGAGAGAGAGAGAGAGAAACAACAAAAAAAAGGGGAGGGGGAGAGAGAGAGGGAGAGAGGTGAGAGGGGGAGAGGAGAGAGGAGAGGGAGTGAGGGGAGGGGGAGAGAAAGAAGAGAGAAAGAGAGCAGAGGGGGAGAGAGAGAAAGAGGCGAGGGTGGGAGAGGGGGATATATAGAGATAGAGAGAGAGAGGGGGGGAGGAGAGGGGGATGGGGGAAAGAGAGAGTGAGAGAGGGAGAGGGGGGGAGTGGAGAGAGAGAGAGAGAGAGAGAGAGATGGAGAGAAAAAGAAAGACAGAGAGAGAGAGAGAGAGAGAGAGGGAGGGGAGAGAGAGAGAGAGAGAAGGAGAGAGGGGGAGGGGGAAAGAGAGAGAGAAGTGGAGAGAGAACTAGAAAGGAAAGAGAAAGAACGAGGAGAAAGAGAGGGGGAAAGACAGAGAGAAAGAACCGAAACCGAAACAGAAGCTTCGAAACGGAAACCTGGAGCCTCGAAACGGGAACCTGAAGTTGAAACCAAAACCTGAGAGCAAAACGAAAACCTGAAAACTAAACCGTTTCCCATGTCGCCCCTAATATTGTGTGCTCCTATTTGTACTGGTACTCGTACTGACTTATACACATGTATTGTACTCTACAATTCTTTATCTTACGTAACTTTTAGAGTACTACGTACTACTATACTTACTTACTATAAGATTACTACTTACTACCTACTATACGACTACTTACCTATCTACTACCTAATACTAAATCATATTCGACCTATTAATCTTTATTTAGTTAGTTCTTGGTTTTTTTTTTCTTGGATTTTATACTACGATATTACTACTACTTTACTACTACCTACTACTACTACTTCACTATATACCTTACTATACCTATATTATTTTAGCGTTCTAACTACTTACCTTTGACTAACTATACTTACTGACTACTACAAACTTTCAACTAATATATTCTATTACTTTTTTGACTACTACTACTACTGCTAAACTATACTATTATGTTATTTTTGACTACTTTCTCTACTACTACTACTTACTATGATTGTATTAGTTACTACTACTAACCATTTACTTTATTGTTCTTTTTACTATTACTATCTATTCATGCTTACTTCAACTACTGCAAACTACTATTTACTAGTTTATGTACTACTACTATAAACTACTACTTACTTACTACTACTACTAGTATTACTAGTTATGCTACTGTATTTTCTACTTTTCTACTTCTCTTCTACTTATATACTATACTGACAAATTAAAAATACTATACCTATATTATTTACGATGTGGTTTTTTTTATACTTATTGTTTATTTTTAATCTTGGGTTCATACTACTATTTTTGACGACTACGCTTAGATACGATAGACTTACGACTACGGACTACGACTCGACTAGACTACGACTACGACGACGACGACGACGACGACGACGACGACGACGACGACGACTAGTACTAGTACTAGTACTAGTACTAGTACTAGTACTAGTACTAGTACTAGTACTAGTACTAGTACTAGTACTACTACTACTACTACTACCGCCACTACCACCATTACTAGTATACTAGATCTACTACGAATACGATTGCTAGCACCGTAACTATGACTGCGACTACTACTCCGACTACTACGCACACGGCGACGAGTACTATTATTACGGCCAGTATCGCACACACTTGCTAATATCAGACGATATGCAGAAACTTGCAATAGGCCATCTCGAACGTTTTCCAAATCGTATGTCCAAATCGTAAATCTCGTATGTCCAAATCGTTGCGCGCCCAAAACGCCAACCAAACAATCTTTCGGTCGCGCGCATGCAAAGAACACGTGCCCGAATCCCGTTCGAACCGTAAACTTGTCAACTAATGCGTATGTATATGCTATACTCTTGGGATGCCTAGCCATTTCCCGTTCGCTACCCATGCGAACAGCATGTGGGGCGACATTTCCTAGATGCAAATCGCGAGTTCTTGCCGGGTCATTGCAAATCTCACACTAGAGGTGCCGTTTCCATGTGATACAATTCCAATGTGTATGCTATGCGTTGTGCTTACACACTCCAGTACAACTCTGTATCGAAACTTGATGGTACGAGTACGTCTTTCACGAAACAGTTGCACTTTCTCATTGAAAAACGAATTTCCGGATATCTAATGTTCTCACATGAAGCCTGTGATAATTTTCCGAAACTTTTCGACCGCCGCTGGCTTGCGAACTATCGGCTTCTTAACAATTACGTACAACTCTTATTGGAAACCAACCACTGTCCGAATGACAGCCCGGGGCAACTCATGATATTTTTCTTCCATGTGGAAGCCAGTGAATTCCCACATGGGAGCCCCAAGAGGGTCCCAAAACCGTCGCAATTGGCTCCGCGAGGACCCCAAGAGAGACCCAAGACGGCTTCAAGAGATCTCTGAGAAAACACTTCCAAAGTTGCAGTGCGTGCTTCTACACTTGGCTGATCAAGGCAACTCGCCTGGCGATCTGTTGCTGGATGGGTTGGTGGGGATACTTTTTAGTCAGCGGCCGCGGGCGAGCGCACCGGCGGCGAGTCAGGTCAAATCGGGCTACGCAGAGACTAATTAGGCAAAGGGAACTCAAGCAGAGCAACGCGCGAAGCGACGACAAAGCGCGGCCGAGGCCTCAGGTGGGTGGCTGAGGGGACTGACACTGAGGGGAACTGCCAGCGTGCAAAGCTGCAAATCCGTCGGAGGCGCCAAACGTCGGAAAGTCAACGACGGCCAGGGACAACTCCTAGAGAGAAAACGTAATACCGTACCTCAGACGACAGCGTGGGCACCAGGGTGGCCGTGGACAGCGAAACGTCGGTCGAGGTTGGAAAGAGAAAGGCTGGTGGGGTACGCGAAGCGTCCACGCGCCCTGACACGAGTATTTCGAAGTAAGCGGGCGCTCGTTGAAGGGGGTCAAAGTGAGCGCCCGTTTGGATCGAAACGCTCGGGGACTCCAGGGCGGCGCTCTCTCTGGGCTGGGGGGGGGCGGAGGGGGAGTGCCTTAGATCGGGGAATCCCCAGCACGAGCATTCCGATCCAAGCGGACGCGCGGTTAAAAGAGTCAAAGCGCGCGCCCACTTGTATTCGGGAACCCCAGGGCGGCGCCCTCCCCCCCTTGGGCCGGGGAGGTACCAGCTTGGATCGGGAAATTACCATCATGAGCAAAACGAATATCTCGACCCAAACAGGCGCCTATATACCGCCCCCAAGATTGACCGTGTACATGAGGCACCGGAGACGGCCCCAGATACCTCCGAGACGGCCGTAAAGCGCCCAAAAAAGGACCCACGACTGCCCAGACAAGGCCCCAAGACGGCCTCCGAAGGGCAGAGGCCGTTCGAGGCCCCCAGCCCCCAAGGTCCCCAAGGGGCCCCCAAGATGCCAGAGGGAAACCCCCAAGAGGCTCTTCCGAGCCCACCAAGAGAGGTCCCAGGCAGCCCCGAGGAAGCCACAAGACGGCCTTAAGAGACCTCCTTTTCCTCCGCCTCGATCGGTCGGCCCGAATCTAAAGACGTTCGAGTTCCCCGCCTATCCTAGCGAAAGAGAGCAAGTGCAAGAGGGACGCGTGAGGAAGGGCCAGTGCACTGGCCGCCAGTCGGCCGATCCAGTCCGAGGCCCCCAGAGACCCCCGCGGTGGCCACGTCCAAGAACGGGCCGAAGGACGCCCATCGGTTCAGGTTCAAGGGCCAAATCCCCTGGCGACTGCACACAGTCACGGACACGCGGACTGCACACAGTCACACAATCACAGCCAGTCCTCATCCTCCTCCTCCTCCTCCTCCTCCTCCACCCCCTCCCCTGTCTAGGTCCTCCTTCCCGTCCCTTTCATCCTCCTTCTTCTTTCTCCCGCAAGTGTTCCTCCAGGGTTCCACACCGGCCGTGGGAACCCATGGTCCAATAGCTTGGCCAGACTTTGGCCCGACGTTTGGCCGCATGGGCGTTTCTCGATGGACTGGGGGGGGCGGTCGTTCGCCGTAAGCGTCTTCGATCCGCCGCCCTCTCTTGCTTGCCGAGGGGTGCACGGCATGGAAAATGACAGCGCGGGGTAGGGGGTGATGCACAAAAATCCAACGAACTATCGTCTGCTCGTGTCACCGGCAACATCGACTTCGCTGGCGCTGCTGGACTGCGCCCCGCTACACTCGAGTGTCTGGCGTGTAGCCCTGCTCCATATCAGCGGCTCAGGACGGGGCTCTGAAAGATGGAATCCCCCAAACACGTAAATTCACCAGGGGGTCAGTTCCTATCCTCAGGGCCCCATCCCTGAAGTGAAAACCACATCTTTGAGCACCCAACCAACGTGCGCGTCGGCAGCGGTGAATCCGGCATCCCGGGTCCCCGACTGAGCTCGGCGGCACGCCAAAAGGGGAAGCGAGAAGGGGCAGGCCTTCTCAGAAGGCGCAGGGCTCTGGAAACGGCGATCAAAGCTTCTCAGGAGGGCAGCGGCCAGAACTGCTGTGAGGGTTCGACGATTCTTGCGTGCGGCCATGGGGTCCTGCCCACGAGCCCCGTGCGTCGGCGCGGAGACTTTTCATTGCGGCGATCAAATCCGCGTTCATACCCCGTCCGGGGGCCGCGGATGCATCCGCGCCCGGGCCAGCTGAGCAGGCCCTCAGCGCCTGCCGCTCCCCTTCGCGGAGCCCTTGGATCGCGTCACCTGCCGCGCGCGCGCCATCGCTTGGAGGCCCCCGATGTGCCATGAGGGGAACAAGAGGATACGAAAGGGGGGTAATGGCTCAGGGGGGGAGACATCGAGCTGGGATCGGCGATACATCGCCGATAAACGGCGATGGGCCCCCGACAGCGAATCTGCACGGTACTGGGCGGGGGGGGCTATTTGGGCCCCTCTCGGCGATGAATGGGCGATTGAGGGTCGATGCATCCATCCCTCACTGAGCCCGTCCCCCTGGGGAGGCGACTTATGGACACCAACACCGCCCTGGGCTTGGATACGATCGTCAACCCCTTGTTGCATCGCGCTGACACGAACAAACGGGTCGATGCCGGTAGCGCAGATTTGGACGTTGAGGGACGCTCCGCTCATGGGTTACAGAGGGGCTGGCCCAAATCACACCTGCCTTTTAGGGCGTAGGTGGTTTAGCGCGCCTCCTCTTCCAACGCTCCCTCTTCCCCTTCGGGGGTTTATCACTGTTCCTTATTAATCGGAGCTTGGGGGGTGAGATCGAAGTGGAACGGAGAGCCTCCCACCGGGAAATCGGTTTCGGTTTCGTGTTCGTGCGTGCCGTGCGTGCGGGTGAGGCGAAGCTGCGTGGGCGGGCGAGAGGAAAGTCTCCTGTGGCTGAGGCGCGGCCGGACCAAATGATTCTCCCTCCGGCAAGCGGTGGCGCGCGGTGTCCCGCCGGTGTCGCGCTTGTGGCTGGGCCCCGGCCGGACCAAATGATTCTCCCTCTAGCAAACGGTGGCGCGCGGTGTCCCGCCGGTGTCCTGGTGTCCCGCTGGTGCGAAAACGATAGTGAGACCGATGACGAAATCGATTGTGAGATCGATAGTGAGATCGATAGTGAGACCGATCGTGAGATCGATTGTGAGATCGATAGTGAGATCGATCGTGAGATGAATAGTGATATCGATTGTGAGATCGAGTGATATCGACAGGGAGATCGTTAGTGGGATCGATAACGAGATCCAGAGTGAGATCGACAGTGAAATCGATCGAGTGAGATCGATAGTGAGATCGATCGAGTGAGATCGCTAGCGGGATCGATGGTCCCATCGATCGTGAGACCGATAACGACATCGCTTGTGAGATCGATAGAGAGATCGATAGTGAGATCGATGTTGAGATCGATCATGAGACCGATAACGACATCGCTTGTGAGATCGATAGAGAGATCGATAGTGAGATCGACTGAGTGGGATCGATTACTTCTGTGTTTAGAGGGCGGGTGGGAGTGAACTATACGGCTTGCGTGCGGGTGGGTAGCTTGACCCTTTCCCCTACCCCCTCTCCTGGACCTGGGACGGGGGGTCCCACGAGAGGGTGGAGCGTCCAAGATGGCCCAAGATGGCTCCAAGAGCGCCTCGGGGAGCCAAAGATGAGCTCCAAGATGGCTCAAGCCATCCAAAGATGCAGCAAGATGGCTCCCAAGGTGCTCCAAGCGGCCCCAAGACCGCTCCAAGACGGTTCCAAGTTGCCAAAGAGCTCCCCAAGGAGGGCCCGAAGAGGCCAACATCCTTCCGACACCAAAAAGGATCATCAATGTGTTTTTGCGTTCTCGCCTTATCGCTTCCGATGGCTTTCCGACGCCTCAAGATGGCTCCGGAGAGGGCCGAGGAGGGCCCCATGAGGGGCCCAACATAGCCCCAACACGTCCAAGAGAGCCCCAAGAGGCGACTTTGGGGCTCCCGAGTGGGGGTGCCCAAATCGAACACCCCCTCTGTTTTGATTGATGTCCTCCAAGATGGCCCCAAGAGTGCCCCTTAAGCTCCCAAGAGCCCCATACAGCCCCAAGAGGCGACCAAGCAGCCCCAAGGGGCGGCCAAGAGGACTCCAACAGGCTCCCATGAGGCCCCCAAGAGGCCTCAAGAGGATCGCCGAAGCACCCGCGACCCTCAACAAAAACCATTGGGGTCGCCAAAATGCTTCTCCTCCTCAACCACCTGCAACTCCTCGTCCACTGCCTATTCCTCCTTCCTCCTCATCGCCCTCCTCCTCCTTCTCCTCCACCATTCTCCCCATTTGGAGCACCGGACGGCTTTGCCCGCCCCTTGTGTTTCTGCATGCTCCCCCGCTTCCCTGATCACCTCAACTCCCCTGGGCATCGTTTCTGGATGGGCTGGTGGGGACTTTTTTTTGTCGCGACCGCGGCGAAAGAGGTCGGGCAGCGTCCAGGAGCGTGGCACACGGGCAACGGCCTAAATTCGCGCACAGGGAGAAGGACGGGCGAAACAGAGACAACATAAAACAAGGAGAGGGACAAACAGGAAGCGAGCCTCGCTGCCGCTCAAAGGAGGGCGCGCGCCAGGAAGACCTTCCAGGCGAGGCGCAGCACCCAAATGATGGAATTCAAATTGACCGACACCACGCACACGCCAAGGATCACCAGCAGGACGAACAGCGAGCCCAGGGCCAAGCCATGGCACCGCGGATGCGAGTGACAGCGATGTCGCGCGCCTCGGTGGATGTCGACCAACGCCTTGCGGGCGCTCAACGGAGCAAGTCCGGATCGCCAGACACCGTCGGGACAGGTGTCGGAAGTTGCCGTCAGGGTGGGCGCGGGCAGCACGCGCCACCAGGAAGGCTTAGGGGTCCAGCCTGCGGACCGACAGGGATGAGCCTGTGCGGTGGGGGAGGACCAGGAGTCCGTCGACCCCGTGCGGGGAGGGAGGCCGTGAGCCCAGGAAAAAGGGCCGGCAGACAGACTGATAGGCAGCCGGGGACAAGTGGGCGACAAATAAGATAGTGATGGTCCGCGCCGGCCGTCATGGGGGAGGCCGGGCTGCACCTTGAACAAGGCAATGGCCGCTGGGCACGGCGCCGAGGGGGGCAAGCCGCGGAGGTGAGCCCAGACGCCCCGGAGCCCCCGAGCCAGAACGGGGCGGAACGCCGAAGGGGCAGGGGAGTGGCCCAGCACCGAGGAGCGAAGGGCCACCATGGACCCAGTGGCAAGGGCGAACTGGGAAACTAGGCGTGCGCCGACAGCCCCAGCTGGGCGAGCGCCGAGCGGCATTGGGCACAGGGCCAGGACGGCCACAAAAGGGCCGCGGGGAGGACGGAGGCAGGCGGAGGGGGTTGGGGAAAGCCGACAGAAAACCGCCGGGGAGAGACCCCCACGGAAGGGGAGGCCAGGACACCGGCGCCCTAGGCCGAGGGGGTTTCCTTGCGGCCGCGCGCGCAAAGGCTGGAATAGGACGAGAAAAATATGTTGACACAACGTGTTATTGATATGTTCCGGGGATTCCGGGATTTCTGCTAACCGCCGCGTTTGCGTCGGGTATTGTCTACTTTGCTTGGCGCCGGCGGTCGGTCACCCATTCGCAGTCGAGTGGTCGCCCGTATTTGGCACTTGCTGATCCTCCTTTTCGTTGCCGAGCGCGGGGGGCACGGAGGCGCATTCTCCCGTCGCCCGCCGCCGCGCGCCTCGGCGGACTTCCAAACGCTTGGCAAGGTAAATCACGCGCGACTCAAAACAAATTCTCCGGGGTAGATTTGGGAAACAAGCGGGAACGTGTTTGAACATACCTGGCCTACTTTTTGAAAAATCTCCAGATCGATTAAAACAATCCGGGCAACTTCCGGGGTCGATGATAACAAATCCGGAATCCAATTTAAAACGTTCCCGATTTCAGCATTCTCCAGATGTCATGCGCGGCGGGCGCATTCCACTCCTCATCAGTTTTATGTAAGAACTTATATACATAACAACATATATATTTATATATATACACTGAAAAGTCCGGGCTCCTTTTCGGCAATTTCTGGGGCCGCTTGCCACCAGGAAGGCTTGGGGGTCCAGCCTGCGGACCGACAGGGATGAGCCTGTGCGGTGGGGGAGGACGGGGAGTCCGTCGACCCCGTGCGGGGAGGGAGGCCGTGAGCCCAGGAAAAAAGGCCGGCAGACAGACTGATAGGCAGCCGGGGACAAGTGGGCGACAGATAAGATAGTGACGGTCCGCGCCGGCCGTCATGGGGGAGGCCGGGCTGCACCTTGAACAAGGCAATGGCCGCTGGGCACGGCGCCGAGGGGGGCAAGCCGCGGAGGTGAGCCCAGACGCCCCGGAGCCCCCGAGCCAGAACGGGGCGGAACGCCGAAGGAGCAGGGGAGTGGCCCAGCACCGAGGAGCGAAGGGCCACCATGGACCCAGTGGCAGGGGCGAACTGGGAAACTAGGCGTGCGCCGACAGCCCCAGCTGGGCGCGCGCCGAGCGGCATTGGGCACAGGGCCAGGACGGCCACAAAAGGGCCGCGGGGAGGACGGAGGCAGGCGGAGGGGGAGAAGAGACCGAGACGCGGCAGTGGCGGACGAAGAGCGACTAACGGTCGCGAGATTGGTGAATCAGTTGGGGAAAGCCGACAGAAAACCGCCGGGGAGAGACCCCTACGGAAGGGGAGGCCGCGACACCGGCGCCCTAGGCCGAGGGGGTTTCCTTGCGGCCGCGCGCGCAAAGGCTGGAATAGGACGAGAAAAATATGTTGACACAGCGTGTCATTGATATGTTCCGGGGATTCCGGGATTTCTAATAGCCGCCGCGCGGGGTTCGCTTTGCGTCGGGTATTGTCTACATTGCTTGGCGCCGACGGTCGGTCACCCATTCGCAGTCGAGTGGTCGCCCGTATTTGGCACTTGCTGATCCTCCTTTTCGTTGCCGAGCGCGGGGGGCACGGAGGCGCATTCTCCCGTCGCCCGCCGCCGCGCGCCTCGGCGGACTTCCAAACGCTTGGCAAGGTAAATCACGCGCGACTCAAAACAAATTCTCCGGGGTAGATTTGGGAAACAAGCGGGAACGTGTTTGAACATACCTGGCCTACTTTTTGAAAAATCTCCAGATCGATTAAAACAATCCGGGCAACTTCCGGGGTCGATGATAACAAATCCGGAATCAAATTTAAAACGTTCCCGATTTCAGCATTCTCCAGATCTCCAGATGTCATGCGCGGCGGGCGCATTCCACTCCTCATCAGTTTTATGTAAGAAC